CATCATAATCAGCCTCTCATTTATGTCACATAATCAAATGTTCACTTTGTCTGGTTTTGTTGCAGTCTGCCCCATATGTTTGAATATCTTGAGATAGTTATGTTAATATGTTATGTTAAGAAAAGAGGTTAGCTACACGTACAGTATATGTTTATACTACTATGTCAATTTTACGTTATGTTGATTTGAAGTTAGTAAATAGTAGCGTATATGTTAATTTTGCTTACGTTGACTTAAAGTATACAAGAAAAAAAGTTAGCGTATGTGTTAATTTGCCTATTGTATGTTGCTCAAAGTTAGTATATAGAAAAGGAAGTTAGCTTTATTACTTTGTCAAGTTTTGCCATATAGGTTATATGTATATGACAATTAGTGAAAATAGTGGATTCACTGAATACAAGCAAGCAATTTATTCTAAAAATAGCTCACCCCGGAGAGAAAAGTTGCCAAATTACGTGAAGCGTTCAAGCTCTCTCTAGATCGGAACAAGATATTTTTAATGGCCCAGCTGAAAGCAAAGAAATGGTGGAGAAATAACTGCTAGCTGACGTCTTAAAAGAAAACGCGTACTAATAGAAGAACTTTTTATCATTGTTTCGCTCACTTCGAAAACGGCAGAAACTATATGGTAATTATATCGCGCGTCCATGGTAATGTAGAAAAGGTGCTGCGATGGGAAACCAAATTAACCATTAATATACAGTAATTGTCGCTATCCTGCAAAAAATTTTCTCGACTACCAAGTCCTGGTAGAAATGTAAACGAATTACTCAATCGCTTACAATATTGCCAGCCAAAACGAGTTATAATCGGTCTATCGCGATATTATTGCTAGTCTCGAAAATGAATTGTTAAAATATCACGTGTTTCGCCTTATATATTCAAACCATGAGTCCAAGAACCGAATTTATGTGTCAACATTCAGAACGGCTTACAGTATAAGGAAGAACTCATGGATGTAAAGAGAAAACTCGACGATATTAACCTGTCTGCAAAGACCTTGGAAACGGATATCCATTAAAGCTTCTACGGCGGGGAATTTTATAAACAAAAAAACGAGTCTTTAAACCCAGAACTTTAAATGTGATGACGTTTTACGTAGAAAGCAAAAAGAGGGACCATTGGGCAAAACCAACCAGTCTTGAACATAGCAATGTAGTCTGGATTTGCGATCAGCCACAACCATAAATCAAGTAAAGCCTCACTCAAAATGTTAGCAGCTAAATTAGTTTATTTTCAGCCACGCCCCGCCATTCTAGTTCACATGGTCAAATGTTCATTTTGCCAGAAAAATACGTATGCTTTATTTTTAAAAGTTAGCTGAAATTCCCCGCCCGAATCAAAAGTTTCATTTTTTTAATGTATGTTACTATTACTGTAATTTGTTTGATCGGCCAATCAAGCGATCTCCATACACATCATTAGTTTTTGTAGCAAGTCTATCTTCAACAGGCCAGAGCAATACGAACATGGGATTAAAGAAGCTTTACCTGGCTTTTTTTCTAATAAGGTTTTATATTTCTACTAGTTCTTCGACAGGTTGAAGCTAGTTAGCACGACCAACTAACAAGCGTTTTCTATCTCGACTACTTCAGTTTAACTCTGTTAAGTTCCGTAATAGCCACGGATCTACACGTAATAGAAGGCAGGCTAGTCGTCAACGACGTTTTGAAAGGTGTGAACTGTCGTGTTGGAACATTTGCATGATTTTGCGTATAAAGTAGTTGATAATCAACCATGTTTCATGTGTCTCTGCCAACATGATCAGATGTCTCAAGTCTAGAACGCAACACTAAAATATTAATAAATGGGGGACAATACTCGGCCTTAGTCCGCAAGGATGGAAAATTTGCAATGTATGTAGGAATTAGGCTTTGATGATTTTTCACGTCCGATGAGTCGACTAATTACTCGCCTTGTGTATCTTAGTCAGAATGTTCCCCCTGGTTCTTATCTACTAGAAGTATCTTCGCGAAGATATCTGTATCCAAGGGTAGATCTATTGGCGATGGATTATGTATCGTGTATTACGAATGAGACAATATACCCTAACATTAAGACCGACATGTTATGTTCCAATATAGTTAAGAGTGAACGTGGATGCTTCGGGGATCCAGGCATTCATCACAATACTGGGTGCCGATTGGCCTGATAAAATTAACACAAACGCTCAACATCCTAACGTAAATGCACTCAAGACCGCGAACGCACTGCTTTATCCACTCGAATTGAAAGCAAGGACCATGGCAGATTACTTTTCGGTGAGTTTATTAGTCTCATCGAAATATCTACTCGAATTGGTGACATTTTTACTAATCAAACCCGCTTTGCTCGATCTTCTGATTAAAGCCTCGGGAGAGCTTCAGTATTGCTAGCTTGTTTGCCAATCCACTAATTATCATGATGGGAGTTAGCATTGTGTTGTTGGTAGTTATGCCAAAGATGATGGAAGGACTCGGTACGAATATGTTTTTTTATATCGTCAAATTGTATGCTTTATATCTACGATACACTTTATTAAATTCGATTTCCCTGGTTACAGACCCGGAGGCTCTAAAGGAATTACAGGAAAATCAACCACAAAATTCACTTGAAATGCCAGATATTTCTGGTGCATTGGCTAACTTTATGACGGGAAAGAGTGACACGAAGAGTAAGAAGAACTAGACGATAGAAGGTTGGCGCTTCCGTGTAAACTAATACGAGCGAAAGATCACACTGGACAAGAAAACCTTAATGAATATTTTTAATTCATAGTTGATCTGGTTGACTCGTCATAGAAATTATGATATATTTACTTATCCTGAACACGTCTTGGATAATATAACTGAATCCACATGCCTATTAAATGAAAGTAATCTCCAAGTAGGACAAGATCGCAGCAGTCAATAGTGCTTGTCATAATAAAAGTCGTGAATTCTGCACGAACAATTTGGCGAAGAAGTCCATCGTAAAACGGCTTAGGTTCTAGCTCGTATAACGAGATCCGTTGCTAGCTTTTTCTTTACTGTCGAATGTTAACTTGGGCATCACTAGAAAAACAAATGGAGTTGGTTCGTATTTCCTTATAAGAAAACATAATATTAAGCCCACTTGCACGCAACATTATCTTTGAGTATTGACTTTAGATGACGAACTTTGTCAAAGTTTAATTGACACATCTTGAAGAGTCTACTGTAAAATGAAAGACAATGGTTTTATATCATGAATGTCTGTAAAATGCAGTTGTATATGTATGATTCAATGTCTATCAATGTCTATGAGCGTATGAAATCTAATTATTCGGTATGTATTTATAAAACGTTTAGTCAGCCACCGGAAACTTGTCCCAAGAAGTACCATTAAACGTTCAATCAATTTGAATGCCCTCGTATTAAACTAAATTATTGCGTTACGTTATGACTATGTATAATATTAGATTAAAGAACCTGCCGGAAAACTTCTCCTCAACACCGTGTCAACTTCATATTCCAACACAGAATGCTCAACCCCTATTATCACGAAGATGGGAACATTAGTAATTACGCCTGGTGAGAGTATTTCGTTTCATATGACCGAGATGTTTGACACTCCTGTGGTTCCCACTTACCAACAAAGATCCGGGAGCTGTCGGGTGTGAATGTAATACCAGAAATATGCTGATCGTAGTGCTGAGGTGCAATACGCAGAGCCTGTCTTTCGCAGAAAGTACGCGCATCGACCAAATGCACATATGATACGTGCTAAAGAAAATTTTGTACCATTTAGTAATGAATAATAATGATGATGTTACATTACTTCTTCCATTACGTTATTGACAAATATTGCTGCCATCATTCCGCAACATAACCATCAATTACCTGCTCTCCTGCTACATTGCGCTTGCTTTTTTATATGTTACTCACCTCACTGAACATCAAAAGATCAACAGATCCACTGGGAGAGAACTTCACTGATCGAGCAGCTCCCTTGATCTGAGAGTCTTGTTTAGTAGGTATTTTACATAGTTTGTCGCTATGTCGTATATCCCAGACGCTAATGTAACCATCTTGATTAGCAACCGCAAATTTTCCCGAGTATTGGTTCCATGCGCAAGAAAATCCCGCATCCGAGGTTGCTGTTCGAAATGAAGTTGATAAAAAGAGCTACGTTAGTTGCGATTCAGTGTTGCAGTCAATGTCACCCAGAATTCATCAAAGTTCGATTGGTGTACCAAATTTATTCTGTGTTTCGCCATATATTACTTTTTTATATTCGTACCTGTGTAAGTAGCTATTCTCTCGTAATCTCCATTAGCCGATACATCAAATAAAAACACTTGATTCGAATCTCCCACGGCGACCATCTTACGACCATCCGGACTAACAGAGGCTGGTAACAATAAGAAAGAAGAGGGTTCCAAGAGTGAATTGTATTGATTAGTAATTGTTTGTAAGAAAGACTCACAGCTTTCATGTATTTGTGCTTTACCATAGTTAATTGCAGTTGGGAATTTGATAGTAGTGATTTGTTCCATGGCTGGCAATGAATATACTTTTATGGTCTGATCGTTGTTGCTGATAAGCATTCGTGTACCTGTTGGATGAGCCGAGATACTAATGGAGTTGTTTATCGAGCCACCGACTGATTTTGGGAGACACCTGTAATACAAGACAAAATTGTTAGTACATGAACCGTGTGATAATGAAGAAACAAATGTCGTATATAATGGGACCAAAATCAGTCAATAAAACAACAAACAAACAGTTGCTGCATACTACGAACGAGCTTTTGTAACTGTTATGACTCTTTTAACTGGTGTTTGCTTATTGCTTAATATTACGAGTTTCAAGTTGTCACGGTCCTGTATACCCATACTTACCAATCATCGTCTATATGCTTCATCATTACTTGACCCCGCTGACCACCGACAGCCAAGTACCCAGAACTACAAATGAATACATTTGGGCAAGTTAATAATCGAAATTTGGCAGTCACATTTAAGCGTGGGAAATAATACTTACCCTACAGCTATGCAAGTGGGAATAAATGTCAAATCACTCAACAATGGAGAACTCTATCATTGGAGTTTGTCAAAATTAGTCACAAGTATGTGAATTTCTATTACATAAAAATCTGTTGATTCTACATACCTGCTGTGTTGTAACATTATACGAAATTACGTTATTACCACATACGTACGTAAACTCGTCTCTAGATCGCGCACAGCTAAGAAGATCACGCAATTGCCTACAGCGTGCAAGTAAAGATGTCAAGTCACAATATATCAGCATTGCGTAAAGTTGATTTGCCTTGTAACGATATGATTACACACCAGTGTTGTATAGTCACTTCAGCCGGATGACTACGACAGCTTGGCTTTACGAATTCAACATCATCTCTGAAATAAAGAAAAAGAATGTATTTTAGCATGTGTCGATACTATTTAACACACATGGAGTCAGTTCATTACCTAAAGGATGACGATAGAAATGTTCTAGATGGCATTATCGAATATTATAGTGTTTGTTACTTTCAATCAAATAGTATATACAGATCACGGTTATAATTGCGTTTTGAAAACGGAACCGGGCTCTCTGAAGAGGTGGGCTATATATGTATTATGTCCAGAAATATGCTTTTTGAATTTATTTTAATGATTATTTATATGCATACAATATGTTGCATGTACAAATTGACGTATGTGATGTCTATACGACATCATCACGGCGTACTATTTCCTTAATTATTAAAGGTCATTTCTCATGTGTGATCTCTTGTTTTGTAGTGAACCTAGCTCGGCATTGAAAAATGATCATCCAATTACATAAGTCGGTGGTACGATTGGTATGCATCATGCATCGTGAATATGATCGAAAGAGACAAAATAAGTAAATGTATTAATTATGGGTAATATTCCGATACCATTAACATGTCGTATAATATTACTCGTCTGCTGTAACCACATTTGTCGAGTAAGATCGACACTGTGCATCCCGCAATTTTACGATTGCATGTGTGATATGGGAATGCTGCAACACCACCAGATAAGCAATTGTGGCTTTGACCTTTGAAAGCCCATTGTCTGTTAATCATAATATCAATGTTATTCCGGCCGAAGTTAGTCATAAAGGGCATAATCATTTGCAGTTACAAGAAACTCGTTATACTGATAGTTGAATACTCGCATTCAGTAATCATGTGATCGTTAGTGATATAGCGATAGAGATTAATAAACCTCTATGATATCATGATTTTATGTTCATTCATGTCCGAAACTGGTATTATAACAAGCAATATTATAAAACTAATCCAACTTTCTCTCTCCGATCCATTTATGCAGACCAATACGTTCATTACCATCTTGTTTAGGAGAATAAATACTGACGGCAGTACTGCTTTTTGCGCTCTGCCGAATTCCTAATGCGGACAATTCTTGTGAGGAAAAGAGCCCCTCACAGAAATTGAAACTTGAGCGGGTAGTAATTCTTTTGATTTCATGCCATCAACCTCGTTTCCATACTGCTCTGAGAATTAGGATATAGATCGTTACGAACCCAACCTATAATTCATATATGGATTGGAATTCGTACGTCAAAGTTCTGCTGAGAGTGACTACACAGTTTACATACCACAACTTCTGGTGTTTTTTTTTTGCAAAATTTGAGTTTTTCCATACGTTCTAACCGCTAGTAAATAAACATTATAATGTCATATGATCGAGTACAACACTATTATTGGCATAATAAAGGTCATATACATAAGGGATTGACGTTACGTGCAGATTTTCATAACTTTGCACGCATGACTGTGTGAATTTTCCAAAGACACGCGCTTGGGTATTCACTTACCTACCATAATAATAACAATACGTTGTACGAGGTAAACCGAGACAAAACGGTTAAGACGCGAAAACGGTTAGTCTAAGTTTATCATGTTGATCTGAACGGGCACAATTGAGAATGGTACGATGGCTCGGGAAGATAATGAACAGAAAAAACAACAGAAATAGTCTTTTTCTAAAAGCAACTGATACGTCACATGTTTCATTTTGATCTCTTTTAAAATTGGTAATGCTACTACGGGCTAAGTCGGCAGTATGAGGACAATGTCTGAACCAATCATTTTTGTGACGGTTATGCTTCTATCTCAAACCAAAAATTTTTCCCCTTCTTAACTGACCGAGACGTTTGATGAAATATCATATGTTTGTATTAACGAAATGATCTTATTCTTATGCATATGATTCCGTTATGTCTTGGCAAATATAAACTAGCGCATTAACAACGTTTAGATCGTATGGAAACTTTACCAACATGTCATGTGACTAATAATATTAATAATAATAATAATAATAATATTATTATTATTATTATTACTATTATTATTATTATTAATATACAGTATAGGCGCTCGTTGTCGTTCATTTACATAACGACTTGATGCGTAATAATAAAGTTGGGCATTGATTCCGTAATAACAATATTACTACTGTGTCGTTATCAAATATAATATCGATATTCAATGATGACGGAATTTGTCCCAAAGGGCTGTTAGGTGCATTCTTTCGCTAGCTGGTTTTGTATCGATATTTCAACATAGGGACAATCCTACATGTTAATGTCGCTCTTGAGCTTCGGTATCACGAATTGTTCAATGAAGATGTAGTTCACTAAATTTTAAAGCTTTATTATCGAGCAAACATAAAAGAGAACAAAATAGCGGAGCTGTTATTTTTGATAAATTAGCTTACGATACTACCAAACTACTCACACGAAAACTTTTAATCTGTTGCGACGCGCATTCATCAGTGAATATCAGACAAATTTTACTTCGACAATCAACGTGCACATAGATATCGCTATTTTAATATTATCTACAGCAGTTGTGAATAATTTGTATTTATCACAATTATTTTGTCCTCATTTAAGATTACTGAAAGCTGTTTTATGTGGCATTTTGGTAATCTCGATATGGTAGACCGCAACCAAACACCTTTATTAGGATACTAGATTAGTAGTCGGTGAAATCAAATAATCAATGCATTAATATTAATTAATAAAAAGAGCTTGCCTAATCGGGTTTCATTTATCAGAAGACCCTTTTTGTACAATCGCCAACATTCTTGAATCAGTTCGTGCGTTTGTCACCCTGAATCCTATGTTTTACTATATTGACAGTTTCGTATCTCTGAAGTGCGAGGATTACCATAAAAATCGTATAACTTGCTGATATTGACTTATTATAAAATGCTGACCTCTCGCCTCTTGTGCAGTAAGTGACATCATAAGAAAACTGTGTTACTCTAGTCGTTATGAAATGTAGTACCAGTTGGCACTTTGTGGCCAATAATAGGGGACGTCTATTAAGGTTCAAACCAACATGAATGATTCCAAAAAAGAATTAACAATATAATACATCATAGTTTCATCATCATCATCCTCCTCCCCCTCCTCCTCCCTCAATATCTTCGTCGACGAAGATTAATATATTGCAAATATGTTTTCAGACAATCCCAAAGAATGGCTAGAAGAGAGCATTCAAGAAGGACATATCCAACATTATCAAGACGCAGATTTGTTGGATCGCACTGTAATTGCTACCAGAGGATTTGTCGTCGTGTACAGAGCATTGGTGAGGCATTCTGGAATTCCTGTTGCAATAAAATCGCTCGACACAAGACAGGAAGAAGCATATTATGAGCGACTTGTTAAAGAGGTATGTAGATAAATCGGCATACTGGCTTATGCTTCCATCATTATAGCCAATTCTCATTTATTATTATAACATTCAGCTTCGTGATTACCAACGGGTTAATAATCATCCGAGTCTTATTCAGTTTCTCGGTTTAAAAAAAGGTACACCTAGTATATGCGCCTTGCTTGCCGAATTACAAAACTAGAGAAATAATTATTCACGCGCATTATTCTGACAGATGCAAGAGGATATTACCAAATGATTTTTGAGTTTGCAGATGGTGGGACATTGCGCAGACATTTGGACGAGTGTTGTCGAGTATTGTCGTGGAAAGACAAAATTACACTCGGTTTAGGCATTACCGATGGATTAAAGTATTTACATGAAATGGAAATCATTCATAGGAATTTGGTAATTTATACAACCGTCTTGTCTTGATCCTGCGTTAACTTTCTATAACGAATCTATGACGTTGTAATGTGTCATAAACAACAATAATGCCGGTTATCCTATTGTTAATTCGCAATCTATACTACCTTTTAACCATTACTAGTACTCCAATAGTATTCTCATTTGCAAAGGCGTTGCTAAAATCTCTGATTTCGGACTATCAGATACAATGACAAATTGTTTGTCCAAAAATGAAAGAACATTAGCGTATGTGGACCCGTCATTGTTTGCTGAAGGTTTTCATGAACACGGAGAAAAGTCTGATATTTTTAGTCTGGGAGTAATTCTGTGGGAAATTTCCAGCGGAAAACACCCGTGCCAGGCTTTAGCAACGAGAGAGGACATTAAACGATTTCGATTAGATGGTTTACGTGATGAGCCAGTTTTCGGAACACCCGTTGATTATTCCAAGTTATATTCGGAATGTTGGGCTGAGGATCCCGACGAGAGACCACCTTGTAAAGAAGTTCACGAAAGATTAGAGCTGATGCTGGAACAGGCAGAAACATTCTCAGACGATTTAATTCAAAACCCATTAGGCGAATTTTTCCATGAGAATTCTCCAGGCGAACTTAACAGAGCATTGGAAATTGAAATCTATCGAATGTTGAATCAATCTATCGATACATCGAGGTCGCGGTGGTCACACTATTCATTTTCGGACACAACATCAATATCTACATCGCGATGGTCTCTTTATTCACATTCGAATAATACAACGGATGATGTTGATAGGCCATTGGATAATAATTCAGATGATGGGTTTATTTTGGGAACAAGAGCGGATGCTTATCTTATGCTCAACCAATTTGATCGTGCCTTGAGCGAATTCAATAGAGCGTTAGAGATTGAACCGGATGATGCACGGTCATTGAGAAGCCGAGCAATCGTATATCGTATGACAAATCAGTACGGCAACGCATTGAATGATCTCAATCGGTCATTGGAGATTGAACCGAATAGCGCTGTGGCGTTAAGTAGAAGAGGAGAAGTCTATTGCCTGCTTGGTCAGTATGACGATGCATTAAAAGACCTCAGTAAATCATTGGAAATTGAACCGAGCGATGTATGGACATTAAGAATAAGGGGTGAAATCTATTACTTGCTCAAAAAGTATGACGATGCATTGAATGATGTCGAAAAATCACTGGATCTGGAACCAGACGATGTATTTTCGTTAAGTAGGAGGATAGATATCTATGGTATTCTCAAAAAATATGACAAGGCGTTAGAGGATCTCAATAAAGTACTAAAGATCGAATCGAATAACGCATGGGCGTTATATAGTAGAGGTGAAATATATCGTATGCTAGGCCAGTATGCTGACGCGTTGAGCGATCTCAACAAATCATTAGAGATTGAACAACATCATGTATGGCCATTGAGAGCAAGAGGAGAAGTCTATCGCATGCTCGAACAATATGACAATGCCTTGAATGATTTTAATAATTCATTGAAGATTGAATCCGATGACGCAATCGCATTGAGAAGAAGAGGATATGTCTATCGTTTGCTCAACAAATATGACAACGCATTGAGTGATTTTAAGACATCGTTAGAACTTGAACCAGATAACACATGGACATTAAACAGAAGAGGCGAAGTGTTTGTTCTGCTTAAGAAGTATTACGATGCATTGAACGATTTTAGCAAGTCATTGATGATCGATCCAAATGATGCATTAGCATTGAGACTAAGAGGAAATGTCTATTACATGCTCGATGAGTATGATAACGCACTAGTCGATCTCAGCAAATCGTTGGAAATTGAAGAAAACGACGCATGGACATTGAGAATAAGAGGGGAAGTCTATTACATGCTTAGTCAGTATGACCTTGCGTTGGATGATATTAATAAGTCATTAGAGATCGAACCATATGATGTATATACCTTGAAAAGAAGGAGGGACGCCTATCGTAAACTTGATCAATATTATAGCATGCAGGACCAATATAATGTATTGAACGATCTCAGCCGACTATTAGCAGTCGAACCAAACAACGTAATCGCATTGGGCCAAAGGGGGCGTGTCTATTTTGATGTTAAACGATATTGGGATGCATTGAACGATCTCAATAAAGCATTGATGATTGAACCAATGAACGCACATTTATTGGGTATAAGAGGAGAAGTCCATAAAGCACTCAGTCAGTATGTCCACGGGTTGAATGATCTTAATAGATCATTGAAGATTATGCCAAATAATGCGGATGCATTGAGAGTAAGAGGCGATGTCTACTTCATGCTTGGTCTGTATCACAACGCATTGAAGGATCTCAATAAGTCATTGGAAATTGTACCAAATAATGCGATCGCACTAAGTAGAAGAGCAGAAATTTATCTTGATCATGAGCAGTATAAAGAGGCGTTGAATGATCTTAACAAACTATTAGTTATCGAACCGAATAACACGTGGGCGTTGAGTAGAAGGGGAAATATTTACTGCATACTCAAGAAGTATGACGACGCATTTTATAATCTCAACAAATCAATAGACATTGCACCAAATGATGCATGGGCATTGAGCAGAAGAGGACATATTTATCTCATACTTAAGAAGTATGACAGTGCACTAAATGATCTCAATAAAGCATTCAGTATTAAACCATATGATACATGGACATTAAGAAACAGAGGAGTCATCTATTGCATACTCAAGAGGTATGATGATGCATTTAGTGACATTAACAAGTCATTGGCGATGGAACCTCATAATGCGGTTGCGTTGAGTAGAAGAGGGAAAGTTTATCTGGAACGTAAGAAATATCGGGATGCATTAAATGACCTTAACGAATCATTGAGGATTGAACCGGACGATGCATATGCATTGCGAGTGAGGGGAGATGTCTATCTGAGACTTCAACAATACTCTGACGCTCTGAAAGATCTCAATGACTCATTGGCGATCGAAAAGCACAGCGCAGAGACACTAAGTATAAGAGGAGAAGTCTATCTCGCGCGCGGTGATTGTTCTACTGCATTGGGCGATCTCGATAGATCGTTGGAACGTGACAAGAATGATGCGCGCGCTTTGAGAACGAGGGGGCGTGTACGTCTTATACGTGACGAATATCCTGATGCATTGGACGATCTCAACAAATCCTTGGAGATTGAAGAAAACAACCCGGAGACGTTGAAAATAAGGGGAAATGTCTATCTCAAAATTAATCAATATGATAAAGCATTAAAAGATCTCACCAAATCATTGGAACTTCAACCAAATGACAAAGACGCCTTAAATATAAAAGGACATATTCATCTTAAGCTCCATCAGTATGACGACGCATTGACGAGCCTCAACAAATCACTAGAGATCGAACCGCACGACGCGTATGCATTGAGCGTAAAAGGAGCTACTCATCTCAGGCTTGGTCAACATTATAATGCCTTGACCAATCTTAACAAGTCGCTGGATATTGAACCGCATAGTGCATACGCTTTGAAAATGAGAGGAAATGTTTATTTGGTGTTTGGTAAATATTATGACGCGATGACTGATCTAAATGATTCGTTGGAAATTGAACCAAATGACGCGGTTGCTCTGAGCTTAAAGGGTGCTGTCTGTTACTGTTTTGAACAGCATGACATGGCGTTAACCGAAATCAATAGGTCGTTGGAGATTGATCCAAATGATGCGACGACATTGTATCGAAGGGCGCAAGTCTATTGCAAACTCGAACGACATGATAGCGCATTGGTTGATCTCAACAGGTCGTTGGAACTTGAACCGGATAATGTAGACGCATTAAATGAAAGAGGAAAAGTTCATCGCATACTAAAACATTATGATAGCGCGTTATATGACTTTAACCGGTCTTTGGAGATTGAACCGAGTAGCACAGAGATCGCGGGTTTAAGGGATGAAGTTTTTCGGATGATTGGTCAGCAAGATGGTCCGCTTAACAATATGCTTAGGAGCACAAGGCAAAGATTTAGGAGGATTAGATTTAATGGTTCAAGTACGCAAACTCCGTAATGCGCATTCTATTGACAATTGGCCGATTGCGTGCCGTGAAAAGAACTATGTAGAAGATGTAACAATAATACGGGCTTTAGGATATTGTTGGTTGTCCGATGTATTTATAATACTGTTATTATTGATTGATAATAACCCTATTAAATAGTGTTTGATAGTTAGGTGTGGATCGCTATATACAGTATATAGGCAACATTACAAAATATAAAACAAAGTTTTAATATTAAAGTTCTGCAAAGCCTGATCATATTGTCAGAAACTATTTAGGCTCAACAACAATGTGTTTTGTTTTCTTTATTTATATGATTTGCTTACATAGCATCGCACACAAATACCATGGATAATTTACTTAATGTGAAGCAGTCACTCCGAAAGTCAATAGCCTGCCTGGGTATCGTGGGACTCTCTCTCGCGGCGGGCGGATTCTGTGCGGATGCCTGCGGCTCGGTCGTGGACTCGTATGCGTAATGGTTAATATAATACGACTATTGTTCTAACTCTTCTGTTCATTACAATCGGTAATCGCGCAGGCCCATAATGAAGTGATGCTGAGAAAAAGCCTATGTTAGTTTATTGCGTTTACAGTAAACACTGTGCCTTTCCTAACGATGAAATTATTTAGCTGAAAATAGAAACTTTACTTGACTGTTCATATGACCAAACACAACGCAATTATTTTATTTTTATATGAAATATATTGTAACGGATATCTTTGTTTAATACTAATACTCAATATAAATATTAAAACTCTCCAAGTGCAAGATTATTTATCCTAATATTAGTATAAAGAATTCATAACTTGTCTTGTACAATTTATTATCCAATTTACAACCCTTGTAATTGTGCTTGTGTCAATATCAAAAGCTCTGTAACAAACCTACTTCTTATCACCTTTATACAACTCAATTATCTCTCTTATTTTTTCCTTTACTTGTGTCCCATTTTCATAAAAAGTATACACCTTACTTGTTGCTTTACTATACCCTTGCTCAGCTGCTCTTTCATAGAATTCAAGTGCTTTTTTAATATTTGCTTCTACCCCAACCCCATGTTCATAATACAGACCAAGCATATATTGTGCATAAGGATTTCCTTTTTCAACTCCTAATTGACACAAGTCAATTACATTCATAATGTCAATTACAACTCCTGCCATTCTGCTATAATGCTGACTGTTTTTGACCTGTATTGACATATGTGCCTGTTTTACTGCATGCTGAAATAACTCTGTTGCTTTTTGTTCATTCTCTTCTACTCCAGTTCCATCTTCATAACATAAAGCAAGACTAAATTGTGCACTGGCATTTCCTTGTTCAGCTGCTTTTTCATACCATTCAACTGCCTTTTGTTCATTCTTTTCTACTCCAGTTCCATTGGCATAACATACACCAAGCTTATACTGAGCACTGGCATGCCCTTGTTCAGCTGCTTTTTCATACCATTCAACAGCTTTTTGTTCATCCTTTTCTACTCCAGCTCCATGCCCATAACACACACCAAGATTATATTGAGCACTGGCATGTCCCTGTTCAGCTGCTTTTTTATACCATTCAACTGCTTTTTGTTCATTCTTTTCTACTCCAGTTCCATTATCATAACATACACCAAGATTATTTTGAGCACTGGCATATCCTTGTTCAGCTGCTTTTTCATACCATTCAACTGCCTTTTGTTCATTCTTTTCTACTCCAGTTCCATTGGCATAAAACACACCAAGCTTATACTGAGCACTGGCATATCTTTGTTCAGCTGCTTTTCCATACCATCCAACGGCTTTTTGTTCATCCTTTTCTTCATTTACATTGGCATAACATGCTCCAATATCATATTGAGCATTGGCAGATCTTTGTTCAGCTGCTTTTCCATACCATCCAACAGCTTTTTGTTCATCATTTTCTCCATTTAGATTGGCATAACATGCTCCAATATCATATTGTGATTGTGCACTGGCATCTCCTTGTTCAGCCATTCTATGGTATAAGTACATGTTGATTATTGTACTCAATTTTCGCATAAGTATAAGCAGCATAACGACACTAGTTCTATGTAAATCGAAAATCAGTATTATTAAACTTCTACCAAATATGCTCGATGTATATTGGTATGTCAGCTCCAATTTCGACTATTACTATTACTATGCCAAGCATCCGAGATGTAGTGTAACGTGAAGTTCAATTATAATTAAGGTCACACAACGATGATCAAATAAAATTTTGCCTAGTCGCAATGTACGAAAATCCAACTAAATTCATAAAAACTTTTTTTTTTGTTTGAAAGCTAATAAATTCTAGTTTTTTATCCCAAGAAAAGTTCTTTATTTTTGACTTCCGGATTAAGTGATTTGAGCGTGGTATGGTTGCTGGTCTTTATAAGGGAAATCATTCTGCCACAGACATCGAAAAAATACTTAAATACTTAGAACGAGACTTGTATTAACATAAACACGGGACTTGTCCCCTGCAGTGACTTTTCATAATAACTAGAATAGTAAAAGACCTGCTGTGCAGTACATTAAATATGATTGGACAAGTGACTTTTTAGGGAGACGACGAAAATCTTAATGGATATAAGCAAGATTCGGAGGTTGGAGCACGGGAATACAAGTAAATAGCTATTTGACTGAAAGTTTGTACTAAGCCTAAGCTTGATGATAAGTGATTAGGTTATAAACAGTAAGTAGTAAGCAGAATTATAAAAATTTAAAAGACGTCTTTTGATATAGCAATCATTTCTAATTGGGTTATGGCAGTGATTATTATTATCCAGCAGATACCGTAATTACATCTAATGCAAATGAATTTTGTACTCAGTGGAATGAGAAGACATAATGACAAAAGTCTGTAAGTCGCGCTTATAAATATTTTTGTTATATCGTCAAAAAAAATGCATGAGTGACTAAATAAGTTAATGAAAAGTGGAGTTGTTGATAATTGGCGGTAAATTTATTAAGTCGATTGGTTCGAGTCAAAAATGATATAATTTGATGTGGACACAAATTAGATCATTTTCGAACAATTAATATTGTAAGCTTACCATGAGCAAGGAATTCGTTAGGCAAATGTATTTAATGAATCGACATTGTGAAAACATTCCAGAGACGTTTTGAAAAATTGATATTGTAATTAATGATTGGTAGGCTTACCATTAACGCTACAATTTGTTAGACACTCTGGAATTATTATTATGAAGAAGTGACAGTTGTGGCGTATATAGAATACAGTCACCTCCTATACAGGTCACATTGGCTTATATATGTATGTCACAATTTGGTTCGGTCCCGGTTTTTTTCATAATGATTTTCCTCCTATACATAATACAGTCACATCAGTGATAGTCAGTCACACGATTTTGAATCCCGTAACATCATGGGCTAAACCAATTTATTATATTGCAACGAATAATTATAATAGTATCAGCGATAAACAAGCCACCACACATTTACACAATACGATAGCATTGTGAACACTTCAAAAACCGAGATATATAAACACATCCCATTTAATCTTTACACAATGTCCTCATAACATCAGCCGAAAAAAAAAGAGTTCAATTGAGTATTGATAATAAACGCGAAATTTGCGAATACATAAAACAAAATTCTATTTTGAACCATGCATACAGTATAATTGTGTTTGATTAAAATAATCAAGACGGTATTTGGGATGGAGAATGAAGGAAAGAAGTAAGCGTTGTTCCCACGTTTTCCAATGCCGTTCAAGTCTACTAATCATTTTTGTTTTAAACTGAGTTCTTTGAACACTTGCATAAAAAATGCAAAACATCATGAGACTAGCTGTTGCGGCGGCGTCTCTTTTTCGTGGCGGCATGGCTCGGTCGTGTGCACGGCGCATAGAATTTCGTTTCCGTGAGGGTGCTTGAGCTGTGCGGGAGATAAGGTCGTCAAGACAAAGAGAGAGACAAACAATCCTTTGGCGGCGGCGTACTCCCACGGCATTGGTTCATTATTGGTGGCGGCGACGGCGGTGGCTACTTCCCTTACATCGTTAATACACTTGTTCGAAAAATCTGTGAGTTTAACCACGATACAAAGAAAACTGCAAGCCAAGACGCAACAACCCATCATATAATATGCGACCCGCAATCATTATTCCGAAAGACTAAGACAGTACATTAGTGTTATGAATGACAAACTTGTGAGAAATTATAAGGCGTCAATGAGATATCTATGCTGAAAAGTGAAGAAGCCTTACACGCTCATAGTACATAATCAGCAAAATGCTCGGTGTTGGTTCCGAACGTTTGAGTAGTTGGCGTTAGTGATAACAACAAAAGTGTTTACTGTTACAAATATGGCACGCGATTTGTTTACTGTTCAACAAGGCTCAGACGAACATTTCCACGTGACGCGAACTTTTTTTTTTCGCGGTACTATGACGTATTATTTATATTAATATTAGGAACTTTCTGGATCTGATAAAAATTCCACCAATAAAACGCAACTGATTAACATCCCCTGAACTATGAACGGAATAGCATATAATCTTTTTCATACGCCGTTTCCCCGCAACGAAAAATCACTCAACTCTCTGGAATAATACACATACCATGAGAGCGTTTATAAACGCATACACCTCTATACAAACTCACAAAGAGGACAAGAAAGACTTTGTTCTATGAAAAAAAACGGAAGAAGTTTGGTAACTATTTTCAAACAGGAAAATACATAGAGCGAGACGAAAAGCAGTTGAATTATACGAAAAAGACTCTGCCAAGGGACATCTGGCACAATATACTTGGAGGATGTTATTATAGAAAGCATTTATTGTTACGGATTCGGATTAGAAACATTTATTCAATCTAAAAATTAGCTGAAGCTCGGCAGGCGAAGGGTGACTGACAGCGGCTCTCCCCCCTGCGATAAAATGAAGTCCTGCGATGAATGAAATGTCGCGATGGGTGCGGTCAATTATACCAAAAAACAGTTGAGGCTTGGGGCAATATAGACTTGCCCGCTGCTATAGAAGCGGCACTGCACTGGAGTTGGAAAAAACAGCTCAAAAGCATTAGAGTTGTATCAGAAGACTGCGCGGCAGTCATATCAGACCGCCGTTCAGCTATTTCGGGGGAGCACAGTACAGTTTAGGGATTTGTGAAATTGGAGTACAGCGCTGCTATCAAGAAGCAGAGACGAACACAACACTTGTCACGACGAACGAGTCGAGGATTCTCATCCGAGCCAAACCGGCAGGCGCCGATGCTTATTTCATGTATACAAAGTCAGCACGGTTGTACGGAACAAATACGTTCGGGGAAGCGCTGAACAAATGTGGAGTAGTATCGGCCTGGCCGTTCATGCAATAAGAAGTCAATTCTCCGCGATGGATGCTCTGGGTACTTGTTGCAGACGGCAAGACAAGGAAATGTGAATGCGCACTTTTTTACTCTTGGTTCGTGCCATGATTATATTGTAGTCATTATAAAGCGTTATTTTACATTATATCAATATGCGGCAGATAAAGAAGAGCGACCGCACAACAACTTGCAATCACCGTCAGTGAAACAATACGGAGACGTTGATTAGGAGCTTTAGCATATATTGGGCCTAATTTGTATGCTCTACTGCCGTTGTTTTTTGTCACAATAAACATACTATCACTGTTCACACATGTTTACCCAATGACAATCTTATTATTCTTACATACTAAACTTGATTCACTCTTTCAAATTCGGATGTGTTAATATATATTTCTAAGTTTGTTTTTTTTGACATCGCTATCATAATAGTTTGCGTCAGTGCAAGATAATGAAGGAAAGTAATTATCAATTTTTTGAGGATTTGGTCTAGTTGTGTTGTACTCTGTTCGGGACTCCGGACCGTCATATACTTCACATTGATTAGTTTAAACAACAACCGCTATAACAAGCTTTTATAATTATTACGTAAATAAATATTTGTTGATGCTACACTTTAGCTTATATAATAGATTTTGTTTATTGATAATAATAAGCGATGAATAGCATATATGAATAATTACTACGATTATGGAAGTAATTTTAAAAGTTCCGACATTAAGTTGACATGCCAGTATTACTTTATTAGCATGATGTAATCATAAAGCTAATCGAATATCAATGATGTTGACATGAAAATCCACATTGATTGTTTCATATTAATATGCTTTTTAGCATTATGGTTAGGCTGTACTGTACCCATTCAAATAATGGATAGTATGGTTAGACTGTCTGTGTGTTGAAATTATTATGCGATATATCTAATTCCTCTTCGATGCAAAATTTAATAGACATAATGGCCAGCAGACGCAAAATATTTACGCATTAATTACTACAAGCCGAATAACGATTCAGAGTGGTATAACTAAATATTCTTGGTACTATATTGGTTATGCCAAAAATAAAAATAATGAGCCACGGCCATTTCTCTCTATGGAAAAAATCCGGTACGGGCTCGAGAATTACTTATCTGATCCAAAAGCTATATTAATATCAGAAAATTTTCCATTCTTGTTAAAGAGTGAAGATGATAATGTAAACGTCCATCCTATTAATAACTTCTTAGCCATTAGCTCATGTCACTTAAGAAAAATAGGAGCTGATCACGCTTCCAGAGTGCACGGAGGTACGCCAGTATTTGAGACAACTGGCGTGTAGACACAAATAGGTCATGCTTTGTCAGTTGAACATTATGGTACAAACCAAATGAAATGACGGGAGTAACTGAAATTATTGACTTGTATAATTACTAATCCTCCGGTCACGCTTCTTTGCTTTTATCGCGTAAACTTTAATTACGCTCTCTTCATCAATAGACAATTCGGTGCAAGACCCGGACAGACTTGAGTAAAAAAAAATCAGTTTGATTGAAATTCTTCCAGCAGTAAATAATAATTGTTCGTCGATTAAATTTTTGTTGGACAGTTACAGTATAATAATTTCTAACTACGCTTTACTCACGCTTGTAACACATGAAATATTTGCATAATAATAAGTAAGATTTTACCAAGATACAGTACATCAGACACAGTAGTGCAAATTTTTCTGATAATTTTATTATATGAATTATAGATTACCAATATCATACGAAATGCTGAATCTTTCTTGCTTGAAAAATGCTAATATTCTTTTACAAATATCTTCTAGGATGTGTATAATAATAAGCACCTTTTTAACTTGGTCTTTATCAAGTGTTGCGTCGCGTACCAGTTCAATTAAGCTAGAAAACCTGTCGCTTGCTGTTCTAAAGTTTTTCTCTCACTAAAAATTTCCACGTATTTAGCTATTTATAAACAGTAACATTGCGCGCGCACAATATATTAAATGTATTCATTATTGCATATGACTAGTAATATCAGTACTAAAAGACATTGGTTGGCATTCTAGTGTGCTTAGGTTTACCAACACGATTGTTCCTGTTTCAGCAAATGATGGCAACAAAATTATCCTCGTTTTTCGGCCGTCAGGTCCTAACATAATGTAGAGAATGCACGATCGGTTAGACGTAAATGTTGACGATATCAAACCAACGCGTATTACTCGCGAGTAATGAACCAGCGAATAACACTTGTTCTGGCTACTGTCGCGAATAAAAAGCTTACCTTCAACTAGACTTGTTGCATACTCTTTTTGATTTCCAATGAAATAGACATGTGGCAGCCTTGTTAAAACAAACGGGTCAAGTTCAATAAACGGATAACACCCTACAAAAAAGAATAATCGTTTTACGAATTAAAATTTTATGTTGTAAAAGTGATTCGAGCATTATCCATTTCCATTTGCTCAGTCACGTGGCACAAGACTATACACACAGAGAGTATCCGGCGCGGTCGGAGCGATGTGTCTCCAGTATAAAGTTTTTTCCGTAATTTCAAGCCTGTTGTGACCGTGTACGTATTTGTATAAATCATCTATGGTTTGACCCGAAGTTCCAAGGAACCTTAAGCAATTTAAAAGTCAGTACAATATCACCTTTTATAGTACCAATGCTAGTCATATACTTACACTATTCCATCAATGTCGCCCCAATAAGGATTGGTTACATTAGAGAATGTCGGGTATTTTGCTGCTTTTGGAAATAAATTTTTGTGGATGGGTTGTTGTGGTAAAGTAAAGCTTGCAGGATCATTGTTTCCAGGCATTAGATCAACAGATAACGTTGAAGAGAGCGTTTCTAGAATATTATCAAGTTCTTGTATTGGCTCGTTGTCATAACCTGAAGTGTTACCAGATTTTCTCTATGGCCGATTAAGATATTAGCACGATGTAAATTAGAAAGTAAAATACATTGCAACTGAACACACCGTTCTGTTTGTATCGTCAATTATTTGACCTTCTTTTAACGCGTTTCCAGCAATTATGAGACGAGATACTTTGGAACTAAATGTTTGATCCTACGTACGATGCAACAGATGACGATTAACAGAGTTGATTCGTTTTCAACGTAGTGACTCGTCAATTTCTTACCGTAACGGTTCCCAACTCTCCAGTTAGGTAATCTATCAACATTTGCGATTTTAGGGATAGTGAACTGTCTTTATCGAGGTTCATTCCACTCAACAGTGCAACATATCTCGGACCAGAATCATCTAAAATAGATTATTATACGCGTGATGAAAAAAAAATTCTTGAAATATAATACGTCAGATAGGAATTCTGGAATATACCAGTTTCCATCAGTTTTGATGGTGGCTGCGGAGGTAGTCCAGGAAGACAAATATCCATGACTTCAAATGCTCCCACTGAATTCTCCCGTCCAAGAACAGCAACAACAAGACCTAAAGGGAAAGAAAGAGGGATCAAAGCCAGTTTCAGTGATCAGCTAAGACAAGATTACAGCAACTAGCTAGTCATAAAACTCACCCGTTACCCAGACCCACTCTTTGATTATATCACCGACAAGCCTAACCCTTCCTGACTCATCTTCGATATTAATCACGTCTTCTTCGCTGCAATACTTATCACGAGGTGAGGTTGTGACAGATGATCGCTAAAAGTTCAATTATAAGTTGCTGGAGTTTATTTATTTGTTTGGTTTAATTTGTTATTCATTTCTTTCATTTGTTTATTGTTTGTTTATGTGTAGGGTTTGATAGACTTGCCTCTTTTAAGACATCTTCAAGGATGTTTGGCTTGAGTGGCATATCCATATAGATTGTTCCGATAACATAACATACTTGTCCAGGTTTTACGTCGAGAATTTTATCGACATGGTATGGTTGGTCACCTAATTAAAACGCGAACGTGTTGGTGATATGGTTATGCAGAGTCAGGACAAGTCCTAGTTTTGTTCATTCACATCATTCGTTTTATAAAATATTCCGTAACCATCATCCATGAAATTCTCCCACTTGGCCCGCGCTATTTCAAAGACAGTTGCCCTCAACTGCATAAGTCTAACATAATACATGTTGGCATATTGCTGACGATATGTTCGGTCTTTGATTATCAGCTCGTCGCGCAAGTCGGGCAACTCGTCATATTTCACTTCGACGCGGTCGAGCACACATGGGGAAAGATTGTCTTGCTGCGATTGGTTCATTGGATGTTAAAGCATCAAAAATGGTCAATTTGCTAAAGAAACACAAGGGTGATTTATGTTCTTTTCTGAAAAGGGGGTGGGACGAACATTATTATGAACTGTGTGGCGTAGCATCGTTCATAAAGAAAGCGGTCGTTGGTCTCGTACTCGATTTTAATGGAAGCAATGAACGTAAATCAAGCGTTGTATTACATCGAAAGTTAAAAATTGCAACGCGTCGCGTATTTTTAATGCAAAATTTGAATTTGCTGAAATTTATCATCTCCACAACGATGACCCAAGCAAGAACTCACTTTTTTAAATAAATGTTTTGAAATGCTATTCGTATTTGAATAGTATAGCATGTAAGCGCCCCCCCCAAAGCGTTAGGAACCGGTCTTTGGGAATATTAAAATGAAATGAACGTCTCAAGTGTTGCCCATGATTACACGAGATAGTCAAGCTTTTTAATCAAAAATTTTGGGATTTTCTTTATAAATATACTTGCTACTCGTTCCATCACCTTGAATCATTACATATCGATAGTGCGTTGAGGCCATCCCATCAATTAGGCGAAAAATAGGCAAAAGGTAGTCGAAATGAACATATATTAATTCCATAAATTCTCGCATCGTCTCATACTTTCCGAGCTATTGATTCAATGGTGAATATATTGAATTGTTTGACTGCACATGACAAGAAGCCAAAAGTTCTCCTGAAGCTTTCATTAAACCAGTTCTCTGATACGAGACTATTTCTATTAACGAAAAATGAACCCTATGATCTTAATCTACTAATGTTACATACCATAATTATTAATACCACAGGAGAAAAGCAAAACAAATTAACGATTAAGTGGCGACTAATGTAAGTGATTTATAAAGGACTAGGGATTCACTCTATTAACGAGGATACGGTTTCAAAAAAAAAAAAGGAAACCGACAAATCTATTAAACCTCCCCCCTGGGGCGTTTCTATGCATGCTAATTTCAACAGCAAACAACTGTCCTACTTAAAGTATCATTAGTCCAACAGCGACGACGACGAGAGCAGACAACGTTGATCCGATCGAATAAACAAGATTGGTTGATGAAGAAGGTTTCGAACTACCCCCGGTGGTCGAATTACCACTGCTACCAGAACCAGTGCTGTTCGAGCTGCTATTGGACGGGGGACCATATGTGGGAATATCAGTTACGTTGTCTACGTTATAATATGCTGGGGGTTGTTGCGGTGTGCCACACCTTATGGAAAGGGAAAAAAAGATCGAGTTAATAAAAGTAGAGAAAACCGAGAATTAAGGCAATCAAGGATTATTGAAAAAGACTACGTGCTTGGAAGAGTAGGTTACAGTACAGTCATTGAGACATGCCGAATCAGCGGCGTCGCAGGCTTTCTTGCACGCCTGAATAAATTAAAAGAAAAAAGATTCCAAACACATATTAACAAATCGAGTCAATCACGGTTTTAATAAAAAAGGCTCTCTTGCCATCACATCATCGCTTGAATTATTACATACCTCACCGCGACCGATACAATCTTGCTGGTTAATAGGCCATTGATAACCTGATATACGGGATTATTAGCATAGGAAAGCGGAAGATATATATACCAAGAATAACTGTAATAGAATTTACCTTCAAAATCAGGTACTTTGGTACTGCAACCACATCCCCAACCCATAGTGGTGACATTGCAAAAGTTCTATAAAGAAGAGTTTAATTGTTGTTATTTTTTCATTCTAGTATTGGGACGAGGATCGTTGACGATCTTTTTTACCTTCGGAGCCTGTATGAGTAAAGTCATGATTCGTAAGATATTATATCGTTAAGTCCATATTCGAGCAATTGAGCAAACATCTTGTTCAAAGAGTGAGTTTTATCAATATACCTTATCAGGTCCACCACAATTCTCCGAACAAAAGCCCATGTTAAGTTGACAGATCGAAGTCCTATCACCGAGAGACTTTTCAGTCAAATTGTAGGTGAATGTTGGTAATGTGGCTGTCAATTGAGAAGAATAAGTCGGTTACTATAATGCATATTTTAAAGGCCGTGGTGGTCCTCTACACGTTAAGAAGTTATTGATAAGAAATATATCTGCGACTCGTTGACTAACCAGTAACAGCCATAATCAGGGCACTGCATGCAAGAACAATATAGGCCTTCATGTTTTTGTTGGGTGGGATTTAGTAAAGGTATTGATTGGAATGAAAGAGAGGGAGTTAAAAAAGTTCTTCGAGAACAGAATGTATTCGTAGTATGGATGAATTAGGGGGGAGGAAGGAGGGTATGGATAATCCCAATAAAAAAGAGTGTTTGCCTATAACAAAAACGAGAGGCCAAAGCTATGGGGAAGTTTCAATTTTATAAGACGAGAAAGCGCAAGAACAATATCATTTTAGGCTAACCGTCTTTATGGTCCAGTTGAATACACAAGGAGGTTGATGTAATTGGTGATGACTTAATTAGCGAGTTGTACGAAAGGTGAATTGATAATTGTGGTACTCTTGAACTTGCATGCTGTATTCGTATTTTATGAATGGCACGTTGTCTAACTCGTTCCGCGAATTTGAGTTGCGAAAATGGAGAGATTGATGACGTTGACAACTGGAAATGGGAGCAGTACGTGCTTGATGGCCTGGTGATCATTTATTTGGATTCAGCATGTGTGAATATTATTAAACATGCTATTAACATTCTCGGTATTTCTAATAATGGTAATAGATTAGTGTGGTTAGTACATATGTATTGAGAACTTGTAGTAATAATAAACGCTCGCCTAACTCGGTTTGACCAGTTTGCGGAAATCTCCCCACACTTCGGCCTCCCGATGTGGTTGGTCTGTGTACTCCTGCAAAATGATTCGCCTAGAGGTAATAATTACAGCCCGTAAAAATAGTAACAAATCACAAATCGTTGTATAAAGTGTATTCTCAAGGTATGCACCTTATTAAGGGTTTTTGCTATCTGAATAATAATGCTCTCTGAAGCATTCGGTAGCTTGACATCTCCTAAATTCACATTGCTGGTATCTAATAATGACCGTGCAGACGGTCATTGTGACTGGTGGCAAGGTCGTACTCGATTATACTTAATTGAGTGATTGTTATGGTATATTGAGAACATATCACCTCCCCCCATTTTTCTGTCGTAATGAGACTGTCCCACCGACTGTTCTTGCCTTTGGCAGTTTAAGACAACCGAATAAACAAGTACGAGTTTCATAATCCGATATTGTTTCATTCATATGACTGATGTGAACTGATTAATCTTTTGATGAACATGTCGAAAGTTAGAGATTACCAAATCAATTCGACAGATTGTGTTCACTATTTAAGTAATACTTATATAATTGAAAGTGTTTTCATAAATAGCTTTTCTTATTCCTTTAAGGAAAGGCGTAGAACTTTCTACTCGGTGTTCGGCCCATGAATTTTTGTATTAAAAAAGCCTCCCTGACATAAAGGAAACATTTGCATACCAATACAAATTCACTGATAATTCAAATAATAACCCCAAGATTCTTTGTTGCAAAAAAAAGCATCACTGTTATGCAATTGCGTTTTACAATAACAAGAATGCGTCTGTGCAATTTATAATTTGATTTTATTGTCCGCTCAAAGTGATTCACTTGAGCAGTAAGCGGGCATCATCGACAGACAAACGTTCAAATGCGTTTGCAGATACTTCCGAGTCATTTATAATACGTCACGATCTGCAACAAACTTGGTCCTCCAATTATACAGTAGTTATTGTTGTTGTTTGCATAATAATAAGCATAATTTATCTTGCATGGATGCAACAATCTAACATGACGACTATTTACATATGTTATCAGTCGACATGATGTCAAATACACG